ACCAACTGAAAATATTAGGTGTGTCCCGCGCGCTCCTATGACCTATGCAGTTGCGAGCGCCGTAAAACACTTTACAAAAACAAACAAAAAACAAATACTACAGCGCCATCCGCGGACACTTTTTTGTCTGATTGAACTATCTTGTTATGTACGATCTTTGATACGGTACTGTTAAAATACTGATAGTCCATTATAATCTAGCAGTCTATGAGCTTACTGCCTAAAGCTCTAACTACGTAATGCCATATCTCGGCAAGCTGTTCAAATACTCGATTAGATACTAAGTCCACAAAGCAACATTTTTCAAGCTGTCTCACCCTTTTTACAATCTCTGTATTTACTGCTCTAGACTCATTTGCTTAATTCTTAGAGCTTGTCTCCTCATAGGCAACGCGATGTTACATCACGTCGCGCATAAGGATACGTAGGCTTAGTTATAGTCTGATAGTAAGTGCTGATATGGTTGTTTTTTTGTGTTTTTTTTTACTATGTTTCGTTTTGTTTTATTTTGTTTTTGCTGCTGTCATTTCGTGTATATCGTTAATGTATCCTTGTGAAAGTTCTTCTTTATCTTTATGTGGTTGAACTGGGTTTTCTTGTTTCTGTGAAATATGTTCTATTGTGTGAGTGATCATGTGATAGGTGTAAAGCGCTCAGAGCTTATACTAGTATGTGATTAAGCGCTATGTAAATGCAATGTATTATTATCACTATATTACTTAATGTACCTTTCTTGCCTTTTTGTGGATGGTTGGCGGGTACTCTGGTGTGGTTTGCTTCTTCTTCCACCTTCTTCTTTTTTATGTTTGTTACTCTCTTGAAACACCTCTAACTTTCTGGCGCTCACATGACCTTATGCAGTTGCGAGCGCTTTAAAACCTCTACTAAAACTAAACTCTTGCCTTTTTCAACACTTTGAACTTGTGTTTTGAGAAAGTATTTCTTGAACATATTTAACTGATAAACAGATTAAGAGACTAAACAAGATACCGTTTCGTTTCCAAATGTTGGGTTTAGTACGTCTGAACAGCTTGTCGATGCTAAATTATACTCCATGAGTTTCTCGCTTTATTGTCTATTATTTATTGTAGTCTACTATAGACTGCTCCTGGTTAGTTGTTGCTAAAGTAAGAATTGAAAGCTACATTTAAACCACGACCAACACAGCCACCATTATCACCATCACCCTACCGCTATCAGTAGCAGCAACAACAACAGTAGTAACATCTGCAGCAATTACAACCGTATTCCCATCCGAGACGCAGTTTTATTTTAACGCTTGAGACATTTTTTTCCTTTCTCTAGCTCCCAACAAACACGTTGTATCCCACCCCACACAACCTCCTTCTTCTGGTTATAACTACATTATCCTTCTCCCTCCTGTTTTGACTTTTTCTATGTCATTTTCGTCTATATTCGCATGAGGTATTCAGTGCCAACTTCGACGAAGATAAAAAAATCAAGTTGCAGTTTGTATAACTACTCATTAAACTGTTAAATTTTTCAATTAACAGAACATTTACATTTATTCTTCAATTATTTTACACAAAAGGAAACAGTTCCAAGCAAAATAAAATCAAAACGTTTTTTCCCCTATGTAGGGCTTAAATTATCACTCCCGGGATATTCAAGGGTCTAGGAGCTGGGACTGAAAGGGTTAATACTAATTCTTTCAGTGAGCCAACGCACAGGCTTGAATGGCTGAATGATAATAATATGCCTCATTGTGTCACAGGTGTGCCTTAGTTTTTACTGTCAATTCCTCTACGTTATCTCGCGGGGTAGCAGCAAACTATCGTAACTCGAGTTTTTACAATTTTACAGGATGAGCGAAGAAACTGATTTTTCACCACCATATCCCTCAACAATACCTGGCTTTTTAATTTGAAGTGTACTTTCACAAAATAATTATACGACTCAGAGGTTTTTGCAGAGTATTTGCATCTTCCTAGAGGCTTGAAATAATCGTAATATTAATATGTCAAAAAGTGACTTTCACCAAAAACCCGAGTTACGATACTTTAGCTGCTACGCTATTCTCTGTAGCGACCGACTTCTTGTTTAAATTTAAAATAGTATAGTCGGTGCGCGCGTGCGTTTATGCACGAGGATAGAAACAGGAAAGTACGGAAATTTGCTCTCACTTACCGTGTAATGACTGTGGTCTGGTATTGTGTGAATATTTTCAAAACGCACATCTGTGGCGTCAGGTTTCAGGGGGGAGGATGTGGGCGTTGTTTTTTATGTGTGTATGTGTGTGTGTGTGTGTGT